TGCTGGCGCTTCATTTTCAAGGTACTCTCTGAGGCCCGGATCAAGCTTCTTGACCGGATCATCTTGGTTCGAACTGCCCCAGAACCAACCCATTTTACTTGAAATCGTCAGTGGTCGCGAATTTTTATACAGTAGAGAAAAGGACAACTGAAAATAGCTGAGGTCTGGCGAAAGATATCCAGTAGGACTGCGGAGATGTGGAAACGAAGCCGATAATTTGGGCCTACCTCAGTTCCCCGCCAAACCGTTTTGGGTCAATGTAGTTCCCTCCCTCAGTTCCATCCAGTTGCTCTACATGCAACAACAAAGCTCGATATCGAGCTTCACTTACAGCATATCGCGTCCATTCGCGCGTTGAACAGCGCCGCTTCTCCATCATGAATTCTAGTATGCTTTCAATTTCGATTATACCCAGAGATAGACTAATGCAATTGCGACAGACCGAGAGGAGCGGCTGCAAATGCGGCAGCGCGGAGCAGCGTACGCGCATCACACTATCCGACTCGCCTTATTGATGAAGAAAGGCAGATGCTAACCGCATAATTCATTCGACAGGACGCGCAAACCGAAAGCGATTGATTTCGGCTTCTCATTTGGACTTGCTCCGGCACCCGCAGTGTCCACGTCGGAATCCGCGTCGCAACCCGCCGCGACTGCTACTGTCACCGAACCAGCTGGTTCTCCACAAACAACATCAGTCCTAGAAGAAACAACCTCGTCACGGGTATCACCAGCACGGACACCTTCATCTCGAAATCTAGGTTCTAGCCAGCGGACACCAGGAAGTGCGCGCAATGGCCTCCCCGAACGACCGTCGATGTTCGATATACCCTCGGATGAGGAGTTAGAGCTTGGGCGCAGCAGCAAAAGGAGAAAAATTGGTAGGTTCTTGAGGGGCTCCTAATGATTTAGACTACAGTATCTAACCATGCAATATTCAAGAATCTCCTAGCAAGGTTACCCAGACATCGGAGAATTTAGACGTTACAGCCCAGGAGACGAGTTTAGCACAGCCCCAGCCGGACAGCACGACGAGGAGCGCACAAGAAGGCATTCGTGATGGACCACAGGCTGCGGCTCCTACCACAACCGCCGAACAAGTATCCGAAGACGCGCCTGAACCGGCCGTCCTGTCAACATCCAACAGCCTGATCAATAACCTGACAAAGGCGGGTGAGAACCCGGAGCTTCACGGGGCAGCGGAAGAGGCTACGGTGATGCGACGTGGTCTACAACTACAGAACGGCTCGAATTCACCTCCCTTGGATACCGTCAACTCCGAGCGCAGCAGACAAGAGCCAGAGACCCCCGATCGCTCTCCAATAGAAGCTTCGGTGATGCCACAAGAAGCTGTCGCACAGCAGGTGGTACCAGAACAAGCCAAAGCCGATGAAGACACACAGCAGCCTACGCGAATCCCAGAGATACCAAATGAGCAGCGTATCGCTAGTGGAATGACGGAGTTACAGCCTCAGCGCCAGAAGCGCGCAAGGGGCAGGCCACCGGCATCTAGCCGAACGCAATATGCTATTGGTGAACCCTCAGAGCAAAATGGAGGTGACGTGCTGGAGAAAACGGTGGTTCCAGATGATCCGAGCAAGAGACTTCGAGGCAGGAGTACAAGGAGCGGCCGAGGCACATCGAATGCTCCTATCGAGAACGTTGTCACCAATAGCAACTTAGTCCGCGGACAGGACGCGGCACAACCTGAGACGGACGGCGGCATCACTGCAGCAAGGGGCCAGGATGTTGAACAATCAGTATCGGGGAAACAAAACCAGAAGAAGAAGGGCAAGCGTGCTGGACGCGCTGGCAAGGGCCGTCATGTGGAGACTGAGCAAGACAAATCTGATGAGTCGGGTGACAGAGTTCGGCAAAAGGAGCAGCCACAGCCGGGCAGTGAGCAAGAGCCGGAGTCTGAGCATGAGCCTCAGCCTGAGCTGCAACCTGAGGCCGAGCCCTCACCAGAGACTGCAAACAGGGCAGAATCGCCGACAGCCCAGGCGGCTTCTTCACGACCTAAGAAACGTGGAAGACCGTCGTTAGCATCGAGAAGGGATAACAACACAGAAACACAGCCCGAAGAACGACAAGAGACACAACAAGAGGTTGAAGAGGAGAATCCTAAACCTACGAGAAAGCGGACCCGGCAACCTCGCGGTGAAACTGTACCTGTGACTGTCCACCGCCTGGTGAACGTCGCCTCCCTGGCACCAGGAGCTTCTGGTCCTGAGTCACCAGTCGAGGATGGAGAATCGGCCGATGAACTGTCCACCAGGGGGAAGACTAAGCTCCCCAAAAGAGGGGGCGTTAACCCAGCCGATGTACTGAGCCAGATTTGCCGAGAGACACTGGAAAAGACCCTCACTACTCTTAAGAACGGAATAGCCAATGAGACCAATCCCGCACGACGTGCGGAATGGACCCGCAAGAAGAAAGCCGTCGAGGCTTACGAAACAGAACTTGAGGGTCGACTGTTTGAGTTGAGCGAGATGCTGGATAGTAACTTTGTTCTCGGTGTCCAGCTGAAGAAAGCAAAGCGGGAAATGATGGACTTGCGCGGCCGGCTGTACCAAGTCCGCAAAGAGAGAGAGGCGGTCGCTTTACGGATGGATGCAGTGCGCAGAAAGCATGCGGAAGAGGAAAGTGCGAGAATGGTAAGCTATGGCCCAGTTCCGAAGTCTATAACTACATCTTTGATATGCGTGTGATTGGTATCTGATGTTTCCAGGCCCGCATCTCTATCAACAATTCCTTGCATAGTCTGGAGCTTGCGGTCGAACGAAGCCAGAACCGTGCTTCCGCCGAAGCTGACAACGCAGAATCGGCTGATGCTTCCCCCACAGTTGGCCTGGAGTTTATGCTCCGTAGTGTTGCTGAAGCAGTGAGCTCTACTGCTCCCGGAGCTCAAGGTGGTCTCTTGGACCAGATCAAGAGCTTCAATGCACAGTTAGAAGCTACAGCTCGCAAACTGGAGAGCTGATAATGTGTTTATTCTTCTTTGCTGGTTACTATGACGCTCAATACCCTTTGACGACTTGCTGGATTTTGTGTATATCAGGATACTCCTAGGTGTGGTAACTGGGCGAACAGACCATTTGATTGCATACCGCATGTACTTGACCTATTATACATCAGAGTATGACTCTTTCCCTGTTCTGTTTACCCAGACTGAATGTAGCAGCGTCATTGACGCACAGCATACCCTGTTCTAGCCTTGTAGGATCACTCTGTATCTCTCCGCGTCGGATAGATTCCTGACCGCCTGAGGCAAGAACTGATTTACCACTCCAACAAGCATCCATTATCTTTTCGCCCTAGGTATCGGACCGGATCAACCGAAATGATGAAATATTGTCCGAAGCATTTGTCAGCCAAAACTTGCAACGGCCAATCAGTAGCAACAATCTGCGGCATGGTTTGCGAATATGCTGGAAGTACCTTAATTGTTCCCTTATCTGCATCTACCTTAGTCTACTGTCCCCTTTTCTCGTTATGGAGCTGCCTTCGCTGAGTATCGGTTGCGCCACTGGATTCCCAATCCTCGAGGATCGGATGGATTTGAAATCAAGCAGTGAGGTTCTACAACCTCGATACTGTTTTTTAAAGGCACAATGCTCTACAGAGCTTGTAGGATAAAAGCCGACGGACTCCCCCGTATCGTCTCGTCCCAATTGATACCCTACAGATCATAGTTGTACTATCATCACATCTCGAGTGATTCCTAGATCGCAAAACCCACCATGTCGAAACTCTTCGCCCCCATCCAGGTCGGGCGCATGCAGCTCGGTCACCGCCTGGCCATGGCCCCCATGACCCGATTCCGCGTGGACGACGACCACGTCCCCCTCCCCATAGTCAAGGAGCACTACGAGCAACGCGCCGTCGTCCCGGGTACCCTCCTCATCACCGAAGCCACGGTCATCTCGCCGCGTGCAGGCGGCTACGCCAACGTACCAGGGATCTGGAGCGACGCGCAAATCGCACAGTGGCGCCAGGTGACCGACGCCGTGCACGCCAAGGGCTCCTACATCTACATGCAGCTGTGGGGGGTGGGCCGGGTCGCCAACCCCGAAGTCCTCAAGCGAGAAGGCGGCTTCGACCTCGTGTCTAGCAGCGATGTTCCCATGGACGAGAAGGCGCCTACGCCGCGCGCCCTCACTGAGGAGGAAATCCATGCCCTGATTGAAGACTATGCGCAGGCTGCGCGCAATGCCATCGCCGCAGGCTTTGATGGCGTTGAGATCCACGGCGCGAACGGTTGCCTCATCGACCAGTTCACGCAGGATACGGCGAACAAGCGCACGGATGCGTGGGGCGGGAGTGTTGAGAAGCGGGCGCGCTTCGCGCTCGAGGTGACTCGCGCGGTTGTGGAGGCTGTTGGTGCGGACCGCACCGGGATTCGGTTCAGCCCCTGGAGTAGCTTCCAGGGGATGCGGATGGCTGACCCCGTACCGCAGTTCAGCTACCTGGCGCGGAAGACGGCGGAGATGAAGCTGGCGTATGTGCATGTTGTCGAGTCGCGGATTTCGGGCAACGCGGATACGGAGTCGACGGACCAGCTGGATTTCTTCCTCGAGGCGTATGGCCGTGCTAGTCCTGTGATTATTGCCGGTGGCTACAAGGCTGATTCCGCCCTGGAGGCGGTCGACTCGCGCTACAAGGATTACGACGTGGTGGTGGGTATTGGTCGTCCCTGGACGTCGAACCCTGACCTGCCTTTTAAGATCAAGGCCGGCATCCCTCTCCGGCCGTACGAGAGAGAGTTCTTCTATTTGCCCAAGGATCCTAAGGGTTACATTGACTACGAGCCCAGCGAGGAGTTCAAAGCCACACAGGTTGCAGCTTGAGTGTGATGTCCGGTTTCCCTTTTCCTCTGCTTATTGGTGCGCTAGAAAGATACCACTGCATTGCATATCGTATATCGTGTATATAGACTATAGAATCGACTTCAATGATAGGTTGTTGGCTTCTCAATGTTTGTACTGTGGTCGCAGCTGTCAGAACATGCTGTACCGCAAGCGAGGGAGACTCACCCTGAAATCCTGATTCTCCATATCGGTCAGATCTAAAAAATCAGAGTTCTCTGGACGTTGTCCCTCGCCCTTCATGTCGCGACGCCGATTCTCAAACATATAGTAGCACTTCAACAGGACAGAGAACACAATTGCTACCGAGACCGTCGCCACAATTGCAATCTTTGCAGGTATATAGTCTGGCTCGTCTTCCGTGCGGAAGGTCAACGGACCCAGGATATTTCCGAGACAGAACGACATCAGCACGATAGCGTTCATGGTGACTTTCTTGGTGTGGCCTGCTACATTAGCACCGGCGATGGAGTACATCAGCGGCAGAGCGGCCCCGACACAGTTGGTTAAGTAGTTGCCAGCTAGCTCGGCGGCTTTTACTCCATCATGGGAGAATGCCATCAAGCAGCCTCCGAGGAGCCCACAGGCGAGGATCCCTATGAGGCTCAGGCATCGCTGATCAAAGCGACCGGCCAGATATGTGCCTGTGAGAATGCTAATAACGCTGACCACGCCGCCGGGGATGGTGAGTAGTTCGGTTTCCTTGGTCGTGTAGCCGAAGCTTTTGATGATCAGGGCGGAGAAACTGCTGATGGCGGCGTTGGAGATGTTCATTGCCGTCACGATCACGGCAATGAAGTAGGTCTGGGGGTCCTTGAATACTTCTACGAATTGGTACATTTTGAAATGCTTGTTCTCGATACCAGTCCGATTCTCCCGGAGACGCTCAATCGCCAAAAGTTTCTCCTCGTGGGTCAGCCGAGACGCCATCGGATTGTCTGGGAGAAATATCATGACGCATATCCCCACGGCGATGGTGATCAGTCCAAAGATGAGAAACATGATCTGCCAGGATCGGAAGCGGTCACCTGTATAGAAGAGGAGTCCATATGCAACAAGAGCTCCGACGATAGTGGCGGTTCCAGTACCTACATACCAGAAACCTATGCGCTTGGGCTGTTCTGCGAGGGTTAGCAACATCCTCAGCGGCGAAAGACGCACCTTACCATTCCTCTTGTACCACATGGAAGTAATCAAGATCAGTCTGGCTCTTGTCAGATTGTTCTCGGACAATCCAGGGGTTTGCAACCTACGCCGGAGCAACTGCGCTTTCAAAACATCCTAGCAGGACACGGAGGGCAATGAGTCCAGCATAATTCTGCGCAGCACAGTTCAAGGTAATAAGGAGTCCCCACAGCGTCACTACAGCCGTAAGCACTGCACAACATGCCTAATGGGGAAAGTCCTCACCGTTGAGGCCAAGGTATTTTGCGATAGGCAGACGTTGCATGAGATATCCCGTTGGGAACTCAAAGAACAGGTAAGAGACGTAAAATGCTAGGGCCAGCTTCGAGAATTGGTCCGTCTGCATGCCGGTATCCTTGAGCAAGCCCATGACAGAGGCATAATTGACTGAGGTAGTGTAAGTCGCTGCAGGAATCAAGATACATCAAGGGCTGGCCTACTCAGGATCTTGTCTTGATACTGGAGAAAGTAGACTGCCCACATAAGTGGTACGATCATCCAGTCGATCTTACGAACGAGCTTCTTTTCATCGATCTCGGTAAATGTCGCCGCTTCTTCTGAGGCAAGGAAGCCTAAGGCTGCGTCTGCCTCAGCTGAAGCTGCGGGACTGAACTTCTTTGCTTCGATATGCATGATTGAGTTACCTGTCCCAGGTACTGTGCGGCAAAACACTATTGCAGTAGCCAAAGTTCTGAAGAAAGGGCTCGACATGGTATCCTTGGTACTCTTCTTATACAGGTGACTCTCGCTACATTTGCGATGCCCATGTTATCAGCGCGGTCGCAGACAGCATAGCTCGCACATCAATGACCTTCCGTAAATGGATGATCGGAGATTGATAAGTGAGAAAGCAGTCGCACTGATAGACATGTCGATATCAACCTTCTTCAACTGACGAGGACTTCATCCAATCGAACTTCCTAGAAGAACGACTTTATGTCGCGTAAGAGACAGAGACCATGATAACCCGGAGAGGCGTGTGCTGGATAGATACTCCAACTCTGGCGATCTGTCCGAAAAAAGCAGGTGGTAATCATCTCCATGGCACAGGAGATATCACCGATAAAGACAATATCGAACCCCGCACGCGGAGAGAGGTTGCCGTAGCTATGAGGATAGCGATAAGACTTGCATCATCAGCTTGTTCATCAGGGACTTTTTGTCCCTCGTTTGTGAGCATATGCAAGTAGAATCCTGATGGAGTATGATGAACCGAGTCCCTTGGCAGTGAGCAGTAGCTCATCCCATACAATGCTCTAGAGACGGGTTAAACGCTTCCTGTGAGATACTTGGTCAGGAAACCCTCCATGGTCCAACCTCCCCTGCTGTGCAGGGAGACACTCTAAGATCATCTGGCCATTAGTATCACAACGATATCTGAGGTTAGTTCGCATAGGCAATCGACTTTAAGATGACAAGATATGCCATTAAACATGCTTCCTCGACCGCTTGAGTAAGAGAAAACGATATCTTTCGATTCATCGTGAGAGGATTTTGGATCACTGCACAAAGGCTTCTCATCCAGGCAACTGCACGTCTCCTTATAGTACGCTCAGCTAATCTAATACGATATGAGCGGTGACTGTCCCAAGGTCTGTTGAGACGAAGCGACAATTCCATAAGAGGGACGCCACCCAGCAAAGTGCGCTATTATCTAACTATTGAAGTCGGGTAAGACTCATGATAAACACAACTGATTTCGATAGTTTCTACCGCACCCCATCCGGACTGTGATTGAGCGACTGACCGCCTCTTTTCTCCGGTAAGTTCACCAAAGGGCGAGTTTAGAGAGGTATCTTGGTCATCCTATTTCTTTCCACGTCGATCATCAGCTCTGTATGAACCATTGATCGACCGTGGAGATATATCATCGCTTTGAACGACGGGAAAGCGAGACGCGGATCTACAGCGCTATAGAGGTCATTTGACCGGCATGTACCCCAACAAGACATACATACCGCAATAGATGCTGACATACAAAAGTTGCCGAGTAGCAAGGACTAGGTCATGCTCTCAGTCTAGTGTTCCGAGCTTCCATTTCTCCAGGTGGTTCTTCAGACAATTGCATCGTCGACCCCGCTTACAACCCGCCCTTCTTTCCATTCTCAGCAAGAGAATGGTTTGTTCGTCATTCGTACAGTGGAGATAGTACTCTGATGACTCAAAAACGGACACATTTCTGATAAATGCAGCTACCCCAGTTTTTTTGACTGGTCCGTATTCCCCACATGGAACCAAGCTGTGAGCTGCCCATGTTGACGCTGCTAGCACCAGGCCGCCAGCTCTCAAGTCAAGAGTCCAGAGTTCAGCCGTAGCCGGATACCCGAAGCAAGGGTTCTGAGTGGATCCCAGAGAACGTTTGAATCCATAAACCCTCAAAACTCAAAGCCCAGTGACTTCCGCTCCGCCGAACCGAAGGGTAACCGAGTCTGAACCGAGAAAATCATCGACCTGGAATAGACGGAATGGTTATGGAGGCTGATGGTGGAGGAGGCTGATGGAGCAGGTCCTAATTATTGCACTATCCCCAGACCCCAGTTGTTTCCGGGGTTATCCATCGGCATTTGGCATGGCATGAAGCCGGCTCGAAGAGGTCTGATGCTCACCCAGTCCAAGAGTAAACTCCATAGTCCGTAATGCTAGTCCCAAGAAAGCGGCTGCCAAGCAAGAAAAACGTGGCGATCTCGTGGCCTTGCACGGACTTGAGAGAGAGTTCTCATAGAGCTAAATTACTGAATGATACCCAAGCCACAAAACATTACTTTGTCTTGGACAGCGGGGACACCAGGAAATGATCATTTCTGGCGTCTTGTGTCGACTGTCGAAGTAGGAAAGAGCCCATCAGTTATTTGGTAGTCATATCGAAGCTGATCGGCGATCCAATTTCTCATGATTTTGCTATGGCCATTGTAAGCGAGGATGATGCCGTTGGTCTTTTTGATCCTTTGGTTCACTGTCCGGGGTAAGTTTTGGAGAGATTGTCACTAGCAGATAGATATGCCAGCGAGGTTTCTCGGGTTGTTCGATATCACCAAGGGTTCAAGTATGGCATAAAATCTTGGAGATCAAATATGCACAGTATATTGATGTCAAGAGTCGGTTTGCCCCAAATCAGAAGAGCCCTCAATTTCAGGCACTTATGGTCCAATAAGCGATCCAGTCAGCGGCGGACTGGGCTGTCATGGCAGTGTAGGTAACTTGTGTACACACCTCAACTTAGAAAAGGGGAATCAAGCCCAGTACTGGCAGCACGCCAACAATGCCAAGGTAAGCAATTATCAAAAGCAGAGTCAACGGAAGTGTGTCTCCGAGACCGCAATTTGAAGTTTCAGCATCAAGGACTTCATCGAAATTGACTTTGAAAGGATCCTTGAGACAAAGTCTCGCCTCTCGTCTGCTTCATTAAACAACAGAAGGAAGCAAGGACAACAGCCTAAATACAGCCTCTCTACGGAGTAAGGTAAATAAATATGGAACAAATAGCTATGTACAAATAGCAGCACAACAATATGGAGTGAACCTCAGCAACATTCAGTATAGCTAGGCCAAACCAGTGCGACCATAATAAAATGACGATAAATTATCCAAGCACGCCCCTAAGCTTAGCAGACCACAGAAATCTTAACAACGCACTGTCTCACTCCCAATTTCCACCACAAACAACCACCCGCCTAAGCACACAGCCTTAATCAAAATAGCTATTAGTCTAATTTTGCACCCACAAACTCACAGCTATATGACTGGCGTCTGCTGTGAGTGAACGTGGCACGACTTGCCAGTAAATATGGAAAATAATCTGACTCCAATTACGTACTCCCCAGTACTCCGTACCCAAAGAGACGATAGCTACCTTACCGAGTAGTCTTTCCCTTTTCCCCTTGTCCAAAAGAAGTCATAATCCTGTCGACAGAGACCAGGACTCGACAAAGCTTGTCCAGAAATCGAGATATACTTTCGGATTCCGCTGAATCTGAGAC